AAAAAAAAGTTCTTTTTCATCAAGACAATGCTCGTGTACACACATGTGTCGTAGCCATGTCTAAATTCAATGAATTAGGCTACCAAATGCTTCCTCATCCACCGTATTCTCCAGATTTGGCCCCCTGTGACTTTTTCCTCTTTCCTAATCTTAAAAAATGGCTCGGCGGGAAAAAATTTAGCTCAAATGATGAAGTAATTGCAGCAACAAATGCTTATTTTGAAGGGTTGGAGAAAACCTATTATTCGGAAGGGATCAAAACATGGGAAAAACGTTTGCTTAAGTGTATCGAGCTAAAAGGAGATTATGTTGAAAAATAAATTGAATTTCGTTAAAAAAATCGTTTTATTCTATTCAAGGCCGGGTAGTTTTCATACGACCCTCGTATAATGTAAGAATCGTAAAACAACGGTGTATAAATTGTCGACGATTTTCATTAAGTTATTTCACGTTTATTTATTCTGCACTCTGATTTGTTTGACTTTCAAAGTCGTTATAAACTAAATATAAAATAAAGTAAAAAACATTCGCATATAAATTGTTGTTTTATTTATGTTTTTTTTTTGTAATTGTTGATTGGTTATTTGCTTTGCTGCGGCATTCGTTGCTTCTATTGAGCATTTACACTCCCTCACGCACGCATGCGCGTGCAGACGTATACGCTTCACATGCGCAATCCAATCACCACCAGCAATTTGGTGTGCTTTGACCCCTACGCTCACTTCAATGTTGGCGACAAGTTTACAGCTTTTGCAAGCATTTCATTTTGACACAATCGCACTGCTGCGGCAAATACTTATACGCTTATTTATAGCATAGCTGCTGCAATTAATCGCATTTTATTGTTGTGGTGGCTCACAGCGCCCACAATTTTAGCACCAGTAGCAACAGCAACAGGCAGGCAGTCAGTGGTAGGCAACAATTGTGGTGGTACGTGTTTGTGCGAAAACGTTTTGAAAATGAAATAAATCTTCATTAAAAATGGATGTTAAAAAATGTATTAAATGCTTTGCAGAAAAAGGCTGCACCGCAAATTCTTAGGCATGAAGATTAGAGTTTGTTGAAGCCATTAAATGGTATTAGAAACACATTAAGTTTATATAAGCTTATTAACTGCCGCCAGAAACTAATAAAATATTTTAGTGAGAGACAAAAAAATATTAAAAAAAAAGTTTGATTTACAGTCACTGAAACAACGTGTTCACGTTTTGGCTTTTTTTGTTTTAATATTCAAGTTAAATTTTTTTGTTATTTTGCTATACGAATATTGTCCAAGCTTTAACCAAGACCATATAAATCAAAGATTAAAACTTTATACTAAATTTAGGAAAATTCAAAAAATTTTCATCAAAATTTTAAACTTTGTAATCTGAATCTTTAGCACAGTTTAAACTTACTTAAAAACACACACTTTTTAATGCGAGTAAGGCTCATAAGCGCGCTACAAGCGCTCATAGGAGATGTCTTCTGTCTTCTGTCTTCTGTCTTCTGTCTTCTGTCTTCTTCTAATGTCAACCGTGCATAGTAAACACTCATGGCGCGATGTCTTTATATTGTCTCTTCGCAATCTACTAATTCCTTTGCTCAAATCATAATAAACAACCACACATACATAAGTATTTGCATAAAAATTACGCAACAACTCGCTATAAATCGCAGCAACCAATGATGCTATTACATAGAAACTTTACGACCTCTTCTTTGCAAATTTGTTTAAGCAATTTTCTGTTTCTCAACGTCCATCAGCCACTAGTAACCAGTGTTGCCACAACGATTTTTTTTTTAACCAAAATCGCCAGGAAAAGTTACAAAATGGAACAAAAACTTACCAAATTTAGTTGATGCGCTGAACTATACATATTACATATACATATTTATATACTTCCCTGCAGGCAGTGACGTTAGCTTATACCTACGGTGACCATTCGTACCGATTTTGGCGGAACAGGGACAGGAATTGGGAAAGAGACATTTTAGCTTTCTTTGGCTATTCCCCTTTCGATTATTTAATGTGTATTCCTTTTTATGAAAGTGTGGCTCGTTATCCAACAAAGACCATGTAAGTCAGAATTTGAAACTTTTTACAAAAATTAGCAAAATTCGACAAAGTGTCATTATGAGCTTTTTAATTAGATTTCATAGAAATATTCTGCGTATGCAGTTTTCTAACCTATTAAATTCAAAGTGCAAATTTTAAGTCGCTAGGACTTATGTTATTTGGTAAATTTTGTGGAAGGTGTTGCTCATTTTCTCCACACAAAAAAGTTGTTGAACATACTGCGTATGGAAGAAAATGCGCGAATGTTTCTTCCAACTTGCACTTTATTAAACTGAAATTAAAGGGGCTACAAAACTCCATACTCAAAACAATTCTGATTAAAATGTTTCAAATTGTGATGAATATTTATTCAAATTCGTCGAATTTTTATAAATGTTCTAAAAATTTTGATTTACATGTTTTTATATTTATATAAAAAAAATAGTAAACATTTTTAATTTTTTTTGTCTCTTTTTATTCTAAAAAAAAATTTAATGTTCGGATTCGATGCTTTATAAATGTCCCGATTTTTGTCCACAGAAATCTGGTCACCGTACACTAGTGCTGCACCTCGTGGAATTGCTGGATTTTTTCTGCTTTTCAAAATTAACATTGTATCCGTTATAAATACTCTAAAAACGTGAGCGGAGTTAATATTTTTATCGCATAGTAAGGTATCAATTTGTTTAAAAATAAGTTTCCTTTTAGACAAATACTACATATTTGGCAACTTTTGTAGAAATTTTTAAAAAAAGCGATGGTCAGAGTTGAAAAATTAATTTTTTTATATTGCATTCGACCCCATCACACACTATCTACACTAAGTTTTGTTTCGAGTGGTTTTCTTGATTTTTTTTTATAGCACCGTGTAGTAGTTAGCAACCCCCAAAAGCCCATGTTTGTAATTTTTCTTGAGGTTAAGTGATTTTTGAATATTCACGCCGCCATATTGGATTCGCCATTTTATTTATTTTTAAATCTTGCATCAAATTTGTAATTAGCTACCCAAAAATCCTAAAAGTAAGCAGTTTCAACTTGGTCTGATTTGATTTCGATTTTTGGTTAGTTTTTTTGTTATATGGAACCACTGTGCATCGTTGTTCTAAGTTTTAACAAAAACGAGATGTCCTTCCCTATGGATATTCTGAGGGTAAGTTCCTAAGGTGGAATGAAAAAGGGCCTGTATTGACCTGTGTGGGGGGGATCTACTCTATTTAATAAATATGTAAGACCGAATGGAAACAGTTAACAAATTAAATAGTAAATTAACCAAAGTTGATGAAGAAAGAAAAAAATACCAATTTTGGTAAAAAAAGTTACTAAAGCGGCAACACTGTTAATCGCCAACCATCAACCAACTTGCGTGTGCATGTGTGTGTATTTCTCTTTGCTAAATCTTTTAATTGCATGCAAAATAGCGCGCGCGCGATTCAACCAACATGCCAGTTAGATATTTAGTCAGTCACTTAGACACTCCGTCTAATGAGCTGTCTTACCTATTGCATAAGTACAGAAATATGTACTATGTACATACCGGCATTTTCGAATCTACACACACATCCATTCGAAACATAGCAAGACAGTTCAAGTGGAATGCGCGTCAATTCTCACAGCTATGAAGGTGGAACATGTGTTTTTGCAGATACAAAAATACATACTAATTATTTACAATTGTGTACGCCAGTGTTGTTGTGTGAAATTTATTGTTGACATGTTGTCAAAAGCGTCCCAAGTACATACCCTGCAGGGATATCGCGAACCAGTGAAATAAATATCTAGTTCAGTACTAAATCTTTACCCACCAGTCTCTAACGTTAGGGAATGGTTTGGTTTTACATTAGAATTCTAATGCAGTTCTCGAATCGAAAATCAGGTTAGAGAACTATGTTAAAATTCGATCAGAGCATGATTAGAAAAACACTTGAAATAAGAAACCAATTAGAATTCAACGGTAGAATACGATTAGATATCTAACCTTTTTCTCAATATAGAGAACTACGTAATCGTTCTCTAATCTTCTACCTTAGAGAAACATATTTGAATTCAAATCGCTTTCTAATCGTTCGCTAACCTAAATGTTTGTTGGGTATCGTTAAAAGCGAACCAGTTCGATAGTAACTAAATCCCCTCAGTTCAAAAGCCGAGGAATGTGGTACATTAAAAAAAATATGTTATTTTACTTTTTTGTACATTTCCCTAGATAAGAGGCCACTTTTTATAAAAAAAATATATATTTTGATGCAAGAAGCAAGAATAATTAAGAATGCATGGTTTTTTAAAAGATCGAATCACCATGTTAAATTCGCCACTTACTAGTGTACTAATCTAGTCATGGTTCTAAATTCGCTACTACCGAACTAGTTCCACACTAGTGCGTTTCCCCACAGCGTATGTACACACTCGTACATACATCCATATGTATGCATGTAGTAAGCCAGCTAGCAGTTTTATCCACGAACACTCATTGCGTATTGTGCAACATTAAGATTTAAAAATTATTTGTTCATTGCATCACTCAGTTTTCCTCTTCTTTTAATTTGCCTTCTGCGATTGACTGATCATGGCTTGCACTTAATTGGATATTTCCTTTAAATGGCGATACATTTTAGTATTTTTTTGTCTTAATATCGTTTTTTTTTGCAAATTTGGTGTTGTTTCTGTTGCTCAGAACTAAGTAATTTAATTTAATTGACTTAAAATCCAGTGTTGCCAATATCAGTATCAGTACCATCGTTTTTCTCGATTTTCTGTTTATGTTCGTCATTTGTGGCAATCCTATTCTTATTTATATTATTTCCATTGCCTAACATACTCCATTTTCTGTTGCTTATTTTACATCAACGACGTGTTTTTGGATCGTGTTCAATGGTAGCAGCATTATATAATGACATACCACATAGTACGTTGCGTTCTCTTTGCACTATTGGCTCAACAAACTCCTGTTC